AACTACATCACCACTATATATAAATTTATCACGTTACCACCATGAGATGTCACACTCCTCCATTTTGCGTCTTTATTATTTATTCTAGTCGGCAAAATCCTATTTGTCGCCCTTTTATGTTACACTGGTTACATTGGTGACTAGGGTGAGACGTCGCCTAATTAATCAAATCTATGTCAGCAACATTGATTATTTTACTATTAGCTGTAACCTGTTGCGTTGCAACAGATAGAATTAAAAGAGTTTAAATCAATATAACAATAAAACATTTAAATAAGATAAAAATTCATAAAAAAAATATGTATAAAAATAAATGAAAAATTTCAGAAAAAACAATATGTTTGCTTTTTTTTCACGATCATTATCTTCAATATTACAATTGACACATTTTAAAATATTTCACCGCATGATGAAAACATGGCTTTGCCTTCAAATTTTTATGACAAGTCTATAGATGGTTTAAGAAATATATCAAATCATTTTTAAAACCTTTGTAAAAAAAAAAAACGTAATTACTTTGAGATGGTTCTTAAGAACAGTTTTCAACCAAAAGAAAGTTGAAAAATGTACACAATATTCGAGTTTTATTTCATAATAAATTATTATAAAAAGATTATTTAATAAATTTTATAGTTTTACATAGTATATGGTAATATATCAATGTTGCTGACATAGTTTTGATTAATTAGGCGACGTCTCACCCTAATTGGTGACGGTCAGGATCTTTAGCAAAACCCTTAATTAATAATATGAATAGTTTTTATCTTATATCTAAATTTAATCTTCGGTTTAGTGAATTAATTTAGGTTATTTGTTCAATAAACGGAATTAAATTCGGCATTCTACCCATGATTGGCAAATTGCCAAGAGTATAAGTTTAAATTTTGATGATTATTGATAATAATGATTTTTCCAATCTATCTCGTACGCCAAATAATAATTGCTCATTCGTATAAATAAAATGATAATATTAAAATAGTTAACAGATAGATGTGTAATTGATTTAAAATAGGTATGATTTGTGATTTCTTGTTACTTTTTTTTATTTGCAAGAATTTAAGTTTAAAATATTTATATAATTTGAATAAAGATCATTATTAATGTTATTATATTTATTTGCTTATGAAGAATTAATGAATTCTGTATTGAACATTCATGAAAATTTAAAACATATATGGTTTATTACATTGCGTAAAAGGTTGACCAAGCTTAATTAATAATTTATCTTATTTCTATTATCCTTAATTATTTGCTCTAATCTTAATGGCATACTTTTAATTAAATTAATAAAAATCTCCGAGAAAGTCGTTTTGGCCTTCCTGGACGCTCTAAAGAATTTTTTTTTTTTTGAGTTTTCTTATATAATAATATATTGTAGGGAGTGGGATAGAGGTTAAAGAGTGTTTTTAGCGTCGTGGGCTACCATTGTACAATGTTACGCAAATTTCCGTAAGACTAATCACGTAAGCAGTGTAACCAGGATGTATTTATTGTAAAGATTTTCAATATATAATTTCGCGCACTAATTACAAAACCTTTTTCCGTAAAACAACAATATTGGAAAAAAAGAAATTATTTACGCGTCAAAAGATACTTATTCAAACAATCCGAGCAATATTAGTTTCGGCATACGCGATTACCTAATATGATAAAGAAACAAAGTAAAAAAAGGAAAAGAAAAAAGAAAAGGCTAACGAATACTTATCGTTAGCCACGTGAGCTCGCTCAATTCTCCTCTCTAACGGACGAACTTTTCAACAAATATTAATTCTTTTAAAAAGCTTTATTAGTGGACTGGTTAACATGTGCGTAATGTGAAATAGTGTCATAAATACTTCCTTCTTACGACTATGTTTAAGTTTTCATAAATTAATTAAGAAATACATTCATTTTATACACTGATTATAATAACGAGGGATAAAGAATTTTTTTTTCTTCTTAAACAATAATAAAAAAAGGAATATTAATTATATTATACATAATAGATAAAATGATTTACATTATTTTATTACAAACTAGTATAGTAAAATTCTATCTTTTAAAAAAAACACAATTAGCCCAATTACGCTTACAGTCCGTTTCCCGACAGAACATTTTCCCGATTGCCTAACGCTGGCCGTTTGATCACGTGTTCATGCATAACACTGCATAACTCTGACCAAACCTGTATGGCAAATTCCCTGTCGCCGTCGGGTAATTCTAATAATTCAAATTTCGAAATCGTTATTCTAATTTCGTGAATCCGTAAAATACACAAAATCTGATTGACAAATATTTCAAATATCGTTGAAAATCTCTCACTTTCTATCTTTCGTATTTAAAAACCATTCGTACATTCGGATTAGTAAGATTAAATTTGATTTTTATAAATAAAATAAAATGATTTTTCTTTCTTTTAAATTTTAAGTACTGAAATAACTTATTATAATTAAAAAAAAAAAAATAATAATTTGATTATGAACTTATTTTTAATAAAATTAGAATTATGAAACACTTTATTAAATATGTTTACAGTATATTTAACATGTCACTTAAAAAATAGTTAAATTCGCATTTATTTATTTATTTATTTATTTGTTTAGAATACATATCTTTAGCATAAGTTTTCAGCAATATAAAATAATTGTACATTTTGTTTCATTTTTAAAATTAAAAGATATTGCATGATTTGATCTAACTAAAATATTTCATTATACTATATTTAAAGTTTCAGCAATTGAATTCATTTGCGGATGAATTTTTTCTGTCAAACGCAATGCTTCTTTTCTCCATTCAGGTTTATCATCCTCAAGTTTACCCATTATAGGTTCTACAAGTATTTTCAACATAATGTCAAACCATTTCTTAGCTTCTTCAAACAACTTGAGTTTTGAATTGATTATTATAATATCAAGGATTATTATACGAATTTCACTCACACGAAATGTTTTATATAAATCATATACCTCTTTCAAAATAGATAGAGCCTTTTTATTATTTCCAATTTTAAGGTAAGCAAATGCCAGGGTATTGCTAAGTTCTATCGTATTGAATCCTAGATCTGGATGTTCTTTTCGAAGACTACGTAATTCAGCAATTAAATATTCTAATTCTTTAATATGAGAAGGTTCAACACTATGTGGTTTTGATACTTTAGGATAAATTGATTCATGATAAGCTTTCAAGAGTTGTGCCATTCTAAGTTTAATTTCTTGTGATTCAGATCTCTCCAACTTGCACATTCTACATTGGCAATCTATGTTAATACATTTAAGATAACTTAATCGTTCCTCATAGCTAAAGGTAGTAGCATTTCTGTAATTAATAATGAGCTCTTCACCTTTTGAAATAGGCCGATTAGTTCGAATGAATAACAAATCACCAAGAAAAAAATTGTATACATTTTCATCAATACATGCATGATTAAAAAAAGATGGCAAGGTCCACAGCCCTAAACCGGTTATTTCAGTTTTAAGATTAAATTCATCATAGTTTAAACCAATATTATTGTGCATGAGAGCTTGTATAATTAATTCAATATGTATTGAATTTTTCCTGATTATTTCAATTTTTTCATTTCTGCTAAGATTTAAACCATTATAAAGTTGATACACTTCCGGACAATAATAAGGTTCTTCAAAAAGTTTCCGAGTAATACATGTAGTTAATTCTTCAGCACACGAACTTGCACCTTTATCATTTGAGGTATTGCTTATCATAGTTCCAAAAACTTCATTACTAAAAACTACTTTAAATGCTTTAGAGACCATCAGCAAAGTATATTCAGGAATGTCACATTTAGCGATCCAACCTCTTCCTTTTCCTTCTACAAGGTCAATTTGAATATTGTCATTTAAAAATTCAGCATGATCCAATCTTGGACCTGTTTCATAAATCCAAACATCATTACCCTTACTATCCTTTTTAATTTTAGACCTCTCATGGAATTCATCAATGATACGTAAATAATCATATTTCCCATTTTTATTTTCATAAGACAACATTTCTGCATGTTTCATAATTTGTTTAATTGAAGTATTACCTTTCATTCTTTGATATAAATTTTGAAGTGTATTAGTGGCATCCTTATAATGTTTGAGACCACAAAGAGCTTTACCCTTGCGATAAGCTGCTTTTAAATTATTGGGATCATACATAAGAGCAATTTCTGTATCCTTAAAAGCATTATGAAATTGATACAATCGAAGGTAAGCTTCTGCTCGGTTATTAAGTAAAGTGACATTTTGTGGCTCCAATTTGATGCCATTTGAATATTTATCAATAGCTGCAATATAATTACTTGAAGCAAAATAATCATTCCCACAACGACGAAAATCATTGGCATTCTTTATCTCGACTTTCTTTTCATTCGTGGACCATTTCACGTCATCAAACAACTTGTTATTATGATCGACGACGATGACATCATCAGGGTTATTAGAACGAATTATGGTTATATTACTAGTGGCAACTTCATAAGATATATTCTTGATGACAAGTAGAGTTCCAATTGATAAAAATAATTGATCGATAGATTTAATATTTGATTGACCTTCTTTTGTCCAATTATACAAAGCAAGTCTTTCAACATTACCCTCTGGATCTTCCACAAGAGCTAAAAGAGCAAATAATTTCACGAATTTGGAAATCACTCGACATAATAAGAATCTTCCAGTGGGTACATTATTAACTTTTAAATTTGATATTGATATCCGAAGTTGAATATTTAGAGTTAAATTCTCTTGTTTATTGATATTATGAACAACATATTTTTTCTTATCACATATATTATCTAGCCTTTTATGTTCATCAATTAATTGTTCTCTGCTTTTTACTTGAGAAAAATTATCAACAGTCAAACGTAAAATAGCATTTTGCACAACTTCAAATGAATCTATTGTTCTGATTACAGTTGTATATTTCATGTTTGTCGTGTTTAATATAATATATATGTATTTTTTTTTTTATGGTTAAGAAAATAACAAATGAAGAAGAATAAAAAATTTCCTTTTTTTTTCTTATCAATTCAATAATCAATATTTAAGTTAACCCCTTAATAATGAACGAATTATTATGTCATTATTAGCTAATAATATTATTATTTAAAGGTGTTAGAAGCTGATCCTGAGAAAAATCATGCATGATGCCATTGATGCCTGTAATACTTTTTTTTTACTCATGAATTCATTGAACCAATCATTTATAATCATTTAAAAATTTTTTAAAATAATCACTAACTAGCTATTTCGTTATTTTTATATATACCGATTAAAACATGTTCAATTTTCTTCTCTCTCATTAATAATAACGCAACTTTTCTTCAAAAATTTTCTTCAGCCTTCTACTTCCTAAATAATGAAAAATAACAATGTAATCAAAAACTTTTTATTACATTATACAGTATATTATGCATTGGTATTATTAATGATTATAATGATTATTATGTTATTTGTAACATGTGTCAAATTTTTTTTTTTAACTTAAATTTAAATCATCCTGAAATTTGATGAATAAACATTAAACATTATGATTAATGAACAAAGAAAATTTTCATTTTTAAAAATATGTTTTTGTTTACTATATACTTACGTAAAACTTAATCGTTTGCGCAGATTATTTACGTATTAATAAAGACAAAATAAAATCATTTTTTTATTAAAAAAAAGGTTAGTAAAATTATCTTTTTCATCAATTAAAAATTACCGAATTGACTTGTAAAAAATATCAAATTAAAAGATCAAAATATTAATTAATTATTATTAGACGACATAAAGTTATGGAATCTGTTCTCGTACGGTAATTTTTTACGTTCAATAAATTGCTTTAAACACGCGATAAACTAAAGCTTGTTAGGAATTTCATGGAATCTATTGGTTTGAGTATATATTTATTATAATACTAGCTGTAACCTATTAGTTTTGGATCTTTATTTTTTACTTTTCTCTCTGTTTCAAGTTGAATAAACGTAACGTATAGGGTTTGATTTTCTTAGAACTGGGAGGAGAGTATAGCCTAAAAGGTCGGTCTCAAGCAGATCTAGCCAATCAAATTAAACCTCAACCAACCGAAAATGCAACCGACTGGAAATGAACAGGCCTTATGTTTTGCAATGACGTCATGTAATTGTAAAAAACTAGAGGTGAGAAAGTGACAGATCAAGTAGCAAAAATCTTTATAAAATTTATGCCATGGCCTTTTTTTCTTTTTATGCCACTGGCTTAAATATTTTCAGAGAAGAAGCCATTTGGATTGAAGCATTAACAACACTTCATATTATATTTATAGTAAAATTGATGCGAAGAAGTATGGTAGCCGCATTATTATCATAAAAACATTTAATTTATGATTTATAATCAATATAATATAATATTTTATTTATCATTAAATAAAGAATGAATAATAAAAAAAAATAACAGCAATCTCTTTTTTATTGGCATTAATCATTATTAATAATTAATAAACAAAAATTCAACAGAATGTAAAATAATAATAAAAAAACCTATTTAAAAAATAATAATAAAATAAATGATAATAAACGACCTAAGAATAAAAAAACCATTATAAACTAGAGATTCTTTTATTGGTTTTGAACAAAATAAAAAAAAAATATTTTCAGTAACTGAAAATAAAAAACTAATTAAAAAAATTTATTTTTTTGGTTTGAAACAAAAAAAAAATAAAAAATAAAAATAAAATGATTAAAATAATTTTATTTCTAAGAAAAAATTAATTGAAAAATTTTATTTTTCATTTTGAACCGAAAAATAAATAAAAAAATGATTTGCATTTTAATCAGTTTCAAGATATCAAAGAGTAACGAAAAGACAATGAATTATAAATATACATTTTATTTAAGGACTATTTGATATACTAAAACCTTATGCAATTTTATAAGTCTGCAAAAAAATTTACGTCTGGTGATTATAACAACATTTACAGTGGCAGTGGCAAAAAAATAAGAAAAATCAGAAACACCGTTGAACCGTATTTTTTGGATAACAAATCAAGGATTAATATAATTATTGTTATTGAATTCAAAGCCGCAAAAAGATACTTTGCTTAGTCAAATAAATAATCCACTCTGATTCATCTAAATAATCATAAAATATCTCATTCTACATTGATATCGTTAAGTAGATAACAAATTTTATTAAATAAGATAATAACAACTAAGTAAATAAATGAAATATAAAATTAAAAAGAAATAATATTTCCTAAAAATCATAAGCTCTACTCCCATGGATGCATAACATAATAAAATTAAGATATTCCGAGTACAAGTTATTTCTTACTGTACATTGCTTCTTGTAGTAGGTTCAGCTACTTGTATTTCTTAAATAATATCTGTGGGTAATAACTTTTTAGTAAGTTATAATTAAACCTAAATATAAAATTGAACTTTAAATATGCTTAACAATATTTCGAATTGGCAATATTTGTACAAAAGTATAGTAATTACATAAAAAAAATAAATAAAACTTCGAAAATTATCTACCTACTAATAGTTAATACTTTCTTTTATAAATCATCAATTGCACAATCAAAACATTCAGAGGGAAGATCTTTTGTAAAAGAATTAAGTAATCGAGATGTATAAACAGCTTGTGGGTGTGTGGTTGACTGGATATCTTTAATAGATATGGGATTTTCTTTTCTGTATTCTTCTGCTTCTTTAAATTGCTTTTCAATTTCATAATGTTGTTGTTCCTTCTCAATTTTCATAATATATTTAAATTTTGATGCATTTGATATATATGAATTATAAAATAACCAAATAAATTCTTCAATTTTAAAAACATTTGGCCTATTAGTTGGATTTGAATTCCAACACTTTTTCATTAAATCAATATAACATTTTGGTGCTTTTGGCTCATTTATTTCAGGTCTAATTTCATTACATATATCTAATGCCAAAAGTTTATCATGGGCGCGATCAGAAAAAGGTTGTTTTCCAGTTGCTACAAAATACATAATCATCCCAAAGCTATATATATCTGCTGCTTGAGTATAATGTCCACCTCTTAACACTTCAGGAGCTACATATGGCATAACTCCATAAATTTTTGTTTCATCATTATTACCGACTTCTTTACATAATCCCATATCAGATATACATGTATTGTTATATTTGATATATTTAAATAATATGTTTCCTATATGAAAATCACGATGAACCATATGTTTTTGATGAATTTTTTTAAGACCTCTAATAATATCAATTAATATTTGTAATTTATTTAACCAATCAAAAACTTCATGATTTTTATATAAATAACCATTAAAATTTCCTCCTTCCGCACATTCAAGAATCATGATAAAATCCCCTGTATCCGGATTCTGAGATATCCCATATATTTTAATAATATCTTCACTTGAATATGCCCTATATGCTTTAACCTATTAAAAATTTTGTATATAAATATAAATTACTATATTAAGTCATAAAGGAATTTTATATTCATACCTCATTTAAAAATTCATTAATGAAATTATGAGAGTTATGTAAGCATTTCAAAGCAACTTTCTTATATCTCCATATTGCTGAATATACTGTAGAAAAACCACCTCTGCCCATTTCTTTAATATCATTGAACTCATTGTATGGTACCCAATTGAATTTAAAATCATCAATAAAATCAAAAATTTTCATACTTTTCTCATTTATTGAACATAGTAATTTGCACCATTTATATATTTCATTTGTATATTTCTCACCACAGTTCTTACAACACTTTTCAATATATTTCTCACAAAAAACCAAAATATAATCTTTAGTATTTGGATTTTGAGATATTCCATAACTAATAATACCTTCTGTTAAATGTGATTTCATCTAAATATATACAAGATTTTAAATAAAATAATTTCATAATAGATAAATAGATAAAAACTTCATACCTTATTTAAAAATTCAATAGAAACATTTTGTGAATTATAAAAAAATTTTAAAGTAACTCTTTTATTTAAATTTCTTTGATATTTTACTGATTCATTATTAAATGTTAATGGGCCATTACTCCATATTGCTGTAATAAAACTTTGTATTTCAGTTTCTTTAATATCAATAAACTGATTATATGGTATCCATTCAAACATTATGTCCTGTGAGCTATTGATTAGCAATTGTTTTTCTTGAATAAAATCATCAATTTGCTTATTTCCACTGGTCCAATTTGTAAAACTGCTTTTCAAAAAATCAATTTGACATGGTTTACACCATCTATACATTTTATCTGTATATTTTTCATCACATTTTAAACAATATATTTCAAAATAATTTTCATAAAAAACCAAAATATAATCTTTTGTATCTGGATTTTGAGACATTCCATAACTGACAATA